TCCCAAACCTTCAGTGTATGCCACGATGAGGGACCTGAGGGCTCAAGGCCAGCTGTGGAAGGCAGCCCGGGCCCGGGGATGCCCTTCCGACTCGCTGGAGACGCTGGAATTGGACGTGAGGGACTCAGATTCTGTGGCTGCTGCCCGGGCACGCGTGACCGAGGGCCGTGTGGATGTGCTGGGTGAGCCTCCCCCCGAAATGTGTACAAGAGCCATCGTTGTCCAGAGCCCAAACCAGAATGCCCCAAGCACAGGGAACCCTGGGGGATAATCTGGGGCTGTCACTGGTCTGTTGGTCGCCTAGGGCGGGCCTCTCTTCTTACAGTGTGCAACGCGGGACGGGGTCTTCTTGGACCCCTAGAGTCCCACGGGCTGGACGCCGTGGGCTCGGTGCTGGACGTGAATGTGGTTGGGACCGTGCGAACACTGCAGGCCTTCTTGCCGGACATGAAGCGGCGCTGCTCAGGCCGCATAATGGTGACTGGGAGCGTGGGAGGCCTGATGGGTGAGTAGAAGGGGCGGGGCCTCCCCCAGCCGCTCTCTCCCTGGACGCAGGTCTGGGCTGCGGAACTCAGCGACCTCGCCTCTCTTCCAAGGGCTTCCCTTCAACGCAGTGTACTGCGCCAGCAAGTTCGCGCTTGAGGGTTTGTGCGAGAGTCTGGCGGTTCTGCTGCTGCCCTTTGGAGTCCAGTAAGTCACCTGAAACTTCTGAACCCTTGGAAACCCAAGCCCAGGGATTTTTGTTGGGGTCGCTCTCCGGTGGGTCCCCGGCCCTCCTTCCCAGACTCCAGTGGTTGTGTGGCAGACACTGTGCTGGGCCTTTGACACACATGATCTCATTCACTTGCCGACTGAAGTGTCGGTATTGTGATGGAAAAGTACAGGTCCACAGAGGTCACACCATTCTAGTTACCCACCCAGACTCAAATTCCATCGCTAAAGTCTCCCTCGAAGCCTCAGGTGGACACGGGAGCACTTCTCGGGCAGTCAGCCGCTTCGCAAACACTTCGGTTTTGCAAAGCAGCCTGCGCGCAGCGGCTATCCTCTCCGCGGACCCAGGCCAGCCCTGATGTCCGCTTCCGCCAACTCGCCGCTCTTGTCCGCAGCGTGAGCCTCATCGAGTGCGGTCCAGTGCACACGGCCTTCTATGAAAAGTTAGAGGGCGGCCCGGGAGGGACGCTGAGTCACACAGATGCCCAGACCCGCCACCTCTTCTCACTCTACCAGCGCCACTGCGAGCAGATCATCCGTGAGGCGCAGGACCCAGAGGAGGTGACAGAGGTGGGTGCTCTCAGGGACCCAGGGAGGCAGGGAAGAGGGAGGCACAACGTGATCCAAGCCCACGCTTCTATTCCGGCCCGGCAGGTCTTCCTCACTGCGCTGCGTGCCCCAAAGCCATCCCTGCGCTACTACAGCACCGAGCGCTTCCTGCCCCTGTCCCGGCTGCGCCTCGAGGACCCCAGTGGCTGCAGCTACGTGACTGCCATGCACCATGCTGTGTTCGCTGACCAGCCTGCCGAGGCAGCTGGGACCAGAGAACCGGGGGACCCTGAGCTCGGTGCGTCTCCTGCAGCCCCGAAATAAAGGCTTTGTCTGTTACTGTCTCCTCGCGCCCTCCTTTGCCTCCCAGGATGTGAAGGGGATTGCGCAGGGGTGGCAGCTGCATTGCGCCGGTGCGCAGCGGGTGAATGATCAGGACAAATTCTCGGAGCCCCAGTTCTACCTATGTGGAGACAGATATCCAGCAGAGGGAGATAACACGGGGTCACGCCTCAAATCCAGGGGACTGCCTGCATACTAGAACTGTCTCTGGATGCCCAAGGGAAGTCTGCAGTAGTGGAAATTAGGTGGACTCAAGTTTGGAGAAAGCCCGGTTGTGACCTGGCCTTTATTACTCAAGGGAATCCCAGGCAATGCCCTTACCTACCCTGAATCTGTTTACTTTTCTTTCTTTCTTTTTAAAATATTTATTTTAGGTGTAGATGGACACAACACAAGGCCTTTATTTTTATGTGGTGCTGAGGAACCTGGGTCCCACCCCTGCTAGGCAAATGCTCTACCACTGAGCCACAATCCTAGCCCCTTTCTTTTTTATTTATTTTTTTTTTAAGAGAGGGGGACAGAGAGAGAGAGAGAGAGAATTTTAACACACGCACGCTAGGCGAGCGCTACCGCTTGAGCCACATCCCCAGCTTGCCCTCTTTCTTTTTTAATATCTTTGTTTTGTTTATTTATTTTTATGTGATACTGAGGATCAAACCCCGTCCCTCCCACATGTGAGCACTCTGCCACTGAGCCACAACTCCAGCCCTGAATCTGTTCTTATCTGTAAAATGAGTTCAATATCTCTCTCATGGGTTGAAGACCAAGTGAGATAATAGCTGTGAAGTGCTAGTGTGGAGGGTTTTGTTTTGTTTACAGTGCTGGGGATGGAACCCAGTGCTGACTTAGGCCAGCACTCTACTACTGAGCTAGACCCCCACTATGCTAAATAAAGCAAAAGGGACACCCCACTGAGTACCTCTTTGTTCCCCTGCCTCAAACTGAACTCTTCAGCAGAGAGGTCCCCACCAGCCCCAAGGCTGCCTCTTCCCAGGAGGTACAGCTGGGGCTTCAGTCCTGGCTAGTGTGTTCAGTGGTCTATACTTCCTGATCCTATAGAGGGGCGCTCCATGGCAGGAACCATAGAAGCCAATCTCCTAACTTCTGTGGAGGTCTGATGGGGGACGGGCAGAGGTAGGGAGCCGAAGAGAACAGGTATAAGTGAGGAGAGGAGATGACAGGCAGGGGAAAGGGGCAGGAGTGTCCCAGAAGGGGGTGGTACTGAGGTAGGGACTAGGTTGGGGGGTCATGTCTTAGAGGAAGTGAAGGACCAGTAGAGAAACCTACCGTGGTTCTTGGGCCTCTGTGTGGGACATCAGGGGAAGGCGGCAGTACATTCTGACCTGTCCTCCAGATAAGGATTTTCTCTGGCCCACTGGACTGCTGGTTGCCTCTGCAACTTGGAGGAAGGAGTCTCAGCTACCCTGCCCCTGTTGGTCTCCCTGCTCTGCAGGCCCAGATGAATCTGCTGTCCTTACAGCATCCAGGAAGTCCTTGGGAAGGGCAGAGGGCCAAGGTGGTATGAATTTCTGAGGCATGGGATCTGCTCTTAGAGCCTGCCCCCACCCCAGGCTTCTCCTTTGCACTTCTGTGAGAGTGAACAAGCAAACATACAGGTGGTAAGAGAGTCTAAGTGTGACCCCTCTATATTTCATATATCCACATTCTCAATAATCTACATTGTGGAATGATTTCAAATACCATTTAGATGTTAATGCCCCCCACAACACCCCAAAAATGTACATATCTCCAACCTCATCGTTTCCTGCAAACACCAGGTTTATATTTCCAGCTGCCTACTCAATGTCACATGATATCTAGTAATCATAACGTGTTCGATGATTGGGGAATACTTCCTCCTCCTTCAGTCTTCCTCATTTCAGTGTGTGATGACAACTCCATTTGTCCAGATGCTCAATTCAAAAACCTTGAATTATTACTTAATTGCAGCCAACCCCATTTTTTTTTTAACACTATGAAGTGAACCTAGAGGTACTTACCAAGGAAGCCACATCCCCAGCCCTTTTTTTTTTTGGTGCTGGGGAGATTGAACCCATGGCCTTGTGCATGTGAGGCAAGCTCTCTATCAACTGAGCTACATCCCCAACCCCTCCTGTCTTGTAGTTTATTTAGAGACAGGGTCTCACTGAATTGGAGGCTGGTTTTTAACTCGAAATCCTCCTGCCTCAGCCTCCCGAGCTGCTGTGATTAATACGTGCGCCACTGTGCCCAGCTAGTTTTTATTTTGAGATGGGTCTGGCTAAATTGCTGAGGTTGGCTTTATACTTGCAGTTCTACTGTCTCAGCCTTCTGAGCTGCTGGGATTACACACGTTCGCCACCACACCCAGCTCCCCTCATCTTTCAATCAGTCTTTCAGCAAATACTGACAACTCCACCCTATATCTTCAATCTTCAAAGCATATTGGGAAATCATCCTGTTCCTCACACTATCATCTCTCTTGCCTATGTAGTAGCCTCCCAGGTGATTTTCTTGATTTTGCTCTTGCCCTCCAACAGTAAAATTTTCCACAGTATAGACAGAATGATTCTTTTTTTTTTTTAGATGAAATTCTTCTCATCAAAATACCTTCTGTTGCTTTCCATTTCAGTAAAAGCCAATATTTACAAGAACTGCTGTGATCTGACCCCTATGTTCTTCTGATCTCATCTCCCACCACTCTTCATATCCATTCTCTTTGGTCCCCCTGGATCCTGTCTCAGGGTCTTTGCACTTGCCATCTCCTCTGTCTGGTTTGCTTTTTCCCTGATCTCTCATTCTCTCTCTTCCCTCAGATGTTTGCTGTTTCCCTGGAACACCCTATCTAAAACAGCATTCCTTTCCCTCCAGTATGGTCCCCTTACTCTGCTTTATTATTCTTCATAGCCTTCATCACCAGTAGATATATTACAAAATTTTAAAAATTGTTTACTTCACCACCCCATCCCAAGACACACAGGAATCTAAACTCCAGGAGAGCAGACACTTTGTTATTTTTGCTCACTCTCTATCCCTTGTGCTTAGAACCCCACCTGAACATGGGAGGGGCTAAATAACACACTTGCTGGAAAAAAATAACTCTGTGTTGTGTGCCAGATGAGACTGTCCAGATGTTTTGGGACATTCTCAGACAGTCTTTGCTTCTTCAAATCAAGTTTTCTCTTTAAAATCCAATTTAAGATGTCACTTGCAAGCATCCTGGTCCTTTAATGCCTTTGTGGCTTCACAATTGTGCATTCCTTGACTACAAAGGCAGATTTGTGGGGCTGAGGGATTATACACTTTTAGAGGCTTTAAGAATACGACAGGCTAGGGCTGTAGCTCAGTGGTGGAGCGTTTGCCTACCAAGGATGAGGCAATGGGTTCAATCCTCAGCACCACATAAAAACAAATAAATAAAATAAAGGTTAATTCTCTTTTTTGGGAGGGTACCGGGAATTGAACTCAGGGGCACTCAACCCCTAGTCACATCCCCTATCCCTATTTTGTATTTTATTTAGAGATGGTCTCACTGATTTGGTTAGTCCCTCGCCGTTGCTGAGACTGGTTTTGAACTCTCCATCCCCCTGTCTCAGCCTCCTGAGCGGCTGGGATTATAGGTGTGCGCCATAGTGCCCGGCTTTATTACTGGAATCTTTTTAAGAGAGAGGAGAGAGGGGGGAGAGAGAGAGAGAGAATTTGTTTATTTATTTAAGTTCTCAGCGGACACAACATCTTTGTTTGTATGTGGTGCTGAGGATCGAACCCGGGCCGCACGCATGCCAGGCGAGCGCGCTACCGCTTGAGCCACATCCCCAGCCCCTATTACTGGAATCTTGAGGATTGATTGCTTTCCCTTTTCAGATTTCCGTGGACAATTTACCTGAAAAGTCTTCTAATAGCAACCTGGCTTTCTCCCCACACCGCTCCAAACTCCAGTCTAATCAGCCCTCATTAACTTCGAGGTAAATCTTTACCACTAGGTCTCACGCCCTAGCCCACTTTTCTCCTGTTTAGATACCCTGGCAGCTCTACTGAGCTCACACACAGAGCTCCTTCTCCTCTCTTGCAAGCAGGCGCACTAAGGTGCGTGGTGCGGCGAGCATCCTATAGAAGCCATGAGAACCGGCCTCTAAGTACCCCTGGAACATTCAGGGTCCCATACATCCCATGTGCGAAATGGGACTTGGGTAAAGTTGCCCAGTAATCTACCAAATGAAAATCCTCGGGCTGGGAGTGGAGGACCAGGAGGCTCTAGGAACGCCTCTCCTAGTGCAAGTGCAATTTTGTGACCCCTACCTCTATCACTGGAATTAAGGAGGCAAGTCGATATTAGTTCTGGTTGCCTTTTGGTTAACCTAGTTGAAACCAATCTCTCTTCTCCAGGGCTGAAGGAAATCCGCCATCTGGGCTTTCAAGCCTGCCTGCCCTTTTCTGCCCAGTCCGGATGGATCTGGAGCCAAGACTTAATCAGTCTCACAACCTCCGCGCTCAGCTCCGCCTCATCAACAGAACAAGCTCCATTCCACAAGAAACCTCACGAGAGTTCCGTGAGATTTGAGTTCCGAAGTTGAGATGTTTGGCCTCTCTCGGTATCCGTACCTCGGAGTTGTGGTTCCAAAGGCAGTGCTTCCGGGCCGCCGCTCGGGAAGCCTTCGTGGCTGGTGTAAGTGGAACCAAAGCCTGGGGGGTTCAGCTAGTAGGGAACCAACCTAAACTTCAGCGTCCCCCTTTAGGCCCCTCCTTCGATTTCTTGAAGACCCAGTGCAGTTTAGTAAGAGGGCCCAGTTCCTGGATCCCCAGTCCTATGACGCAGGGATTCCTCTCCAGTTCCCCCTTCCCAGGATTTTGGTTTACTTCAGAGAAGTCATTGCGCGATCGGCCAGGCCTTCTCCCGGCTCCAGGTCTCCTTCTGGGTCCAAGGTCCAGTGCAGGTCTCGGCTTCAACCATTAGCCCCCTAGCCATCCTCATTTCCTCTCCCTGACTGTCCGTAGGCCTAGGCAGCATGGCTGTATTCCAGTCGGGCCTCCTGGTGCTGACGACGCCACTGGCCTCCCTGGCCCCTCGCCTCGCTCCTATCCTGACCTCAGCTGCCCGCCTGGTGAATCACACACTCTATGTACACCTGCAGCCGGGCATGAGCCTGGAGGGCCCTGCCCAGCCCCAGTCCAGCCCGGTGCAGGCCACGTTTGAGGTTCTCGATTTCATCGCGCACCTTTACGCTGGCGCCAACTTCCACAGGCACCTGGACGTCAGAATTCTACTGACCAACATCCAAACCAAGAGCGCCTTTCTCCCTCCACTGCCCAGCTCAGTCCAGAATTTGGCCCACCCGCCAGAAGTAGTGCTGACTGACTTCCAGACCCTGGATGGAAGTCAGTACAATCCAGTTAAGCAACAGCTAGAACGTTATGCCACCAGCTGTTACAGCTGTTGTCCACAACTGTCTTCAGTGCTGCTGTACCCGGATTATGGGACCGGAATGCTGCTTGTGGAGTCCCTGGATGTACCCTTATCCTCCACCATTAGGCCAGCTTCCCCTGTGGCTAGGTCTCCAAAGCAGCCTGTGCGTGGTTACCACCGTGGGGCTGTGGGTGGCACGTTTGACCGCTTGCACAATGCTCACAAGGTGTTGCTCAGTGTTGCATGCATCCTGGCCCAGGAGCAGCTTGTGGTGGGAGTAGCAGACAAAGATCTGTTAAAGAGTGAGTGAGAGGGACCCTGCATTAGGGTAGTGGAGGATTCCCCAAATTTCCTCCCCCAACCACCACCGTTAATGCCAAGATCAAGAAAGGTAGGGCTATAAGTTCACACCCATTCCAAATGTCACAGTGCTTGACAGTTGGTGCTGAGGAAGCTTTCTTTTTTAAGTTAATTAATTAATTAATTTTAATTAGATATATATATATGACAGCAGAATGCATTTTGGTTCATTGTATTGAGGAAGCTTTCTTAGTTTGTGGTTCAATCACCAATTAGACCTCCCAAATATGGAACTAAGGAATCTACTTTTAAGATTCTCCAGGTGATCAACTGTAAAATTTGAGACACTGGGAATAAACAGATAAATGAATTGTAAGGTAGTAGTGCTACAGACAGTAAGAATGAACTCAAGGATGGCATGGCTCTTGGGATTCTCTAACTCTGATGCCCTTTAGCATAGTTCTCTGGAGTAATCTCTCGGTGGCTTGTTCTCTGGACTCATGCCAGCCCTTGCAGAGACTATGGTGCTCATCCATTTTCTCCCCTTCATGTCCCTCCCCTGCAACAGACTCCCAGTTTAATACTTTCTTCCTGTCACCCTCCTCTGGAGATACAGGGCCTAGGGACACTCTTCCCCAAACAGGCCCACACTCTTCTTCCCCAGTAAAAAAGCCTCACTGTTTTTCTGGGCTCCTTCCCCAGGCAAGTTGCTCCCTGAGCTGCTCCAGCCTTATGCAGAACGTGTGGAACATCTGAGTGAGTTCCTGGTGGACATCAAGCCCTCCCTGACTTTTGATGTCATCCCCCTACTGGACCCCTATGGGCCTGCTGGCTCTGACCCCTCCTTGGAGTTCCTGGTGGTCAGCGAGGAGACCTATCGTGGGGGGATGGCCGCCAACCGCTTCCGCCTTGAGAATGTAACCCCTGGGAGACTGGCAGAGGGTGTGGAGGGGAAGGGGGAAAACCTTTATGGGGTGCTGTTGGAAGTACCATGGTTCCAGAGGAGGGAAGAGAGGGGTCAGGGTGGTGGGAAGAAGCAGGAAGAAACTGGTTCCCAGCTTCCCTTCCTTGGGTAGGTAGAAGAGGATAAAGGGGATCTGGGTTCTTCCTTCCTCCTCTCACTCTTCTCCTCCTTCCCCCTTTACCCCAGGACTTGGAGGAGCTTGCCTTGTATCAGATCCAGCTGGTGAAGGATGAAAGCCACGAGCAACATGAAGAAGAAAAAGTCAGTTCCTCCAACGCCCGCCAAAGACTGCTGGGAAAGCTGCTTCGGCCTCCAAATGTAAGCCTACCTTTCCTCTTTCACTTGTGTTTGGGCGTGCTGGAAATGCTGGAGAGTAAAATTTGAGGGGTTCAGCCTCAAGCATGAACCTAAGGGCCCTAGTAACTATGGGGTTCCTTCTCATCTACCCCAGAAGAGGCCAGAGCTCCCTTCAGGTCTCTACGTGATTGGGCTGACTGGCATCAGTGGCTCTGGGAAGAGCTCAATAGCTCAGCGGCTGAAAGGCCTGGGGGCATTTGTCATCGACAGTGACCACTTGGGCCATCGGGCCTACGCCCCGAGTGGCCCTGCATACCAACCTGTGGTGGAGGCCTTTGGAACAGGTAACAACTGGGGAGGGCTAGAGGTGGCTTGAAATGAGGAGATGGCTTGGTCTCTTTGCTTAGTCCTCCTTCTCTGTCACTCAGATATTCTCCATAAAGATGGCATCATCAATAGGAAGATCCTAGGCAGTCGGGTGTTTGGAAACAAGGTAAACACACACCTCTCAGGGCTCTTTAGCTCCTCCTAAATTCTGACCCAGAATTTGGATTTCTACTCATTTGTTCCCAACTCCCACCTCCTGGGCTGGCTCCATCACTCAGGGAAAGTAATCTCTGCCTACTTCCTCTATCCCTTCCCCAGAAGCAGATGAAGATACTCACGGACATTGTGTGGCCAGTTATTGCAAAGCTGGCCCGAGAGGAGATGGATCTAGCTGTGGCTGAGGGTGAGTGGGAGGGATGATGGGAACAGTTGAAGGGGAGTGTTGAGCAGATTCTTCCCGAGAGCTTCCCTGCCCCCAGCATGGCTATCCACTTTTCCTGGGACTTGTTTTTGTGGGCCTCTGATTGATAGTCAGCATTAGAGTGCTGCTGGCAGTGACTGGGGTCTCCCCACAGGAAAGGATGTGTGTGTGATTGATGCCGCCATGCTGCTTGAAGCCGGCTGGCAGAACATGGTACATGAGGTGTGGACCGTTGTCATCCCTGAGACAGAGGTATCTGGACCCCACCCTTACCCCATCCCTACTGCAGATGGTATCCTGCTCTGATCCAGCAGGCTGAGCTGGGATCCTTCCTGACAAATGCCTCGTCTGTGCCCAGGCTGTACGACGCATTGTGGAGAGGGATGGCCTAAGTGAAGCTGCCGCTCAAAGCAGGCTACAGAGCCAGATGAGTGGGCAGCAGCTTGTGGACCAGAGCCACGTGGTGCTGAGCACCTTGTGGGAGCCGCATGTCACCCAACTCCAGGTTGATGCCCAGGGAAAGAAAGGGTTGTGGGGAGGGAATGTCCAGTGGGTGTTTGCCTGACGTTGTCCTTTCTTCCAATATCCTGGACTGTCGGAAGGTGGAAAAAGCCTGGAATCTCCTGCAGAAGCGCATAGCCAAAACTCCTCAGGCCCATGACTGATAATGAATTCTCTGTGGGACCACAGTGGCCTCTGGAGTAGATGGGAACCAGTGGTGTGGAGGAATGGGTACCTTGATGCTCTTCCAGTCTCAGACCTAGAGGGCTTCAAGCTAAGCTGTGCAGGACATGGCTGGGCCTGGTAGGAATCCTATGCAGCATGCTGACGTTTAATCAACAGTAAAGATGTGGCTTATCGAGGAGTTCCATCCCTATTCTTGCCCACAAATGTCTGATGCCCACCACTGACTGGGGTCAGGGCAAACACTGGAATTTCTAACAGAATTAAAGGTGAATGTCTACAGGTGCTGCCTGTATGGTGTCTGCTTCCTGCTCCAGCGTCTCTAAAGTGTCTTTGGACTCTTATGCCACAAGTTCAGGGTCCAGACCTGAGCCAGAAATCAGGATTACAGTGGTTAAGTATATGGCCTTTGAAGTTAGCCAGACTGATGTCATCCTCGTTCTTCCCACTTACTAGCTGTGAGAGAGACTTTTGAGTGAGAGACTTTTTAGGTACTTCTAATTCCTCACTATAAAGCAGCAAAACAACTAACAAACTTTTTGCAAGGATTATTTAATTCCACAAGCACCCTGCCAGCTACTGGGCTGGGTTTTGGAAGATCTATGCTGGGTAGTGGCTCTGCCCTCAGAACTTGCAGCTTGATGGGGTCAGAAGATGTGAAGCAGGAGTGCTCCGCCCAGTTTCTAACCTAGGGACAAGGTCTGCAGGTGCAGGTGAGTGCGCATGCGCACAGGATCTGCAACAATATTTAGAAAACCTTTTCCCCCTTGGGTAGTGCTGAGGATGGAACCCATGGTCCCTCACATGAGAAGCACTGGCTCTACATCGAACTAATATATATATATACACATACACACATACCCCCAGCCCTTCACAAAAGCCTTTTGAAGGGATCCCATTTCATAGAAGGTGCTTCATGTGGCCGCCATTCTAGACCCTAAACTGCAGAAAGGCAGGGACAGGCGAGGAGCAAATCCCTATCACCGACCACTTGTAGGTTCCACGCCAAGGAGAACCACCTCCGCTCAGTTTTAAAGTCTTGAGACGCGCGTGCGCAGCACTCTCGCCTCATCCCTGCCTCTCCGTCGTGGATTGGTGAACTCTAGTCACGTGGACGCGCCTCTCCGCTTCCTCGCAGCAGGGGGCCCACCCGCTTGGTTGTTTCCGGTTCGATAGGTCCAAGATGACGGAGCCAGGCGCTTCTCCCGAGGACCCCTGGGTCAAGGCAAGCCCCGTGGGCGCGTGCGCCGGCTCCAGGGAAGGGCGGGTTGGGCTTGTGCACACAGGGGGTTGAGAAGATTAGGGGCTTCCTTCCTGTCCCCAGAGTCTCCCCTGTTCTCCGACCCGGGGCTGCAGATAGACAGTTTTTACCCCGCGGCTGCCAAGGTGTAGAGACAAATGAGGCGTGTGCGCGCGAGCGCGAGGGAACGAGGGGGCTGGGGGCCGGAGGATGAGTGGGGCGGAAAGGATCACGCAGAGGGGCGGCGCTCTCACGGCCTATCCCAGCTTTGCGTTCGGGGAACCTTTCCGCTGTCCGCACACTTGTGTGTGTCTGATGGGCTTCTCCCTTGCTTGGTGCTGCAGGTGGAGTATGCCTACAGTGACAACAGCCTGGACCCTGGTGAGTGAGTGCCTCCCCTATTGTCTTGGGCTTTGGGAATGATACTCCTCTTTCAGCTGTATAAATTCTTGTGGCCTTGCTAGCCACACCTGAGCACAGTCCACTGTCTCTGAGCCAAGGTCCTGGCTTGAGACATGAAAAAGGAACTGGAGAATGGGCAGGAAGCAACCATGGGTGACACCTGATTCCTCTGCTCTGGACCACAGGAAGTGATGGAAATAGTGACAGCTGTTCACTCGTTCTCAAATGTTCAGATGTCCCTTTCTGAGCCAGAGGGTTTGACTGCAGGCCTATGGAGCAGTGTAGATATGGGAGACAGGAGCTTTGCAGCATGGTATGGCAGGAAGTGGGTGGCTCAGGATGGCTGGCAGTCATTTAAGGAAGCCTTTGTGCCCACAGTTGTCTATGAGGGCTGGCAATGCACTGCATTCCAGTCCTTAGTGATTGGAACCTCTCTTTTCCAGGGCTTTTTGTAGAAAACACTCGTAAGGGAAGTGTAGTGTCCAGAGCTAATAGCATCGGTTCCACCAGTGCCTCCTCTGTCCCCAACACAGGTAGGCAGCAACACCCTCCTGCCCACCTGGGGGGACTCAGTTATGCCATCATTCTAGTATCTTTCCTAGATAGGGAAGCTCCAGCTGACCACATGGGGTGTTGGAGTCTTGAGTGCCAGACACAGAGTGTGTCTTTTACCTCATCCAGGATATTTGACTGATTCTTTGCCCATCTGCCATCTCTGGGCACTGGGTTCTTCCCATCAGGGAAAGGTGGGCTAGCTGGGCCCCACTGGGCCCTAAGGTGACCTCTCCCTGCCCCCAACTCTGAGCATAGATGATGAGGACAGTGATTACCACCAGGAGTCCTACAAGGAATCCTACAAAGACCGCAGGCGGCGAGCACATACCCAGTCGGAGCAGAAGAGGAGGGACGCCATCAAGGTGATTGGGGGGGGTGCTATGTATTTTAGATTTTCTTTGCCTAGACCTCCTCAAACAGCTCCAGATAGCCTTAGGGGTGAGCTGATCTAGTCCCTGGGCTTCTTTCCAGGAGCTGTGCATGATCTAGTCCCTGGGCATGAACATCTTTCCACCCCTCCACCCCACCCCACCCCCCAGTTTGTGAGAATGGAACTGATGTCATGGAAGCTTTGTGCCATCTTGACTTAATCCCTCAGGGTTAAGGATCCCCTTTCTCATGTTGTTTCCACAGAGAGGCTATGATGACCTTCAGACCATCGTCCCCACCTGCCAGCAGCAGGACTTCTCCATTGGCTCTCAAAAGCTCAGCAAAGCCATCGTTCTACAGAAGAGTATGGACAGGGAGAGAACTGAGGGGTGGAGCCAACAGGGGCTGTGTCCAGGGCAGCACTACATACCCATCCCTGGCCTGTCCCTGGTGTGGTGGTTGTAATGAGATAATGGGTGTGGAGGAGGGAAATCAAATTCAGTTTTGTTCTCCTGGTTGAGATTTCCTCTGCTTCCACCCCAGCCATCGACTACATCCAGTTTTTACACAAGGAGAAGAAAAAGCAGGAAGAGGAGGTGTCTACACTACGCAAGGATGTCACAGCCCTAAAGATAATGAAAGTGTAAGAGGGGTGCTGAACTGGGGAAATTAGCTTCTGATGGGACTGAGGCTGACTGCAGTGCACACCTTTACCTTGTCCAAAGGCTACACCAGGTAATACGTGTAGATAATATTCGCACTACCTGAGTCAGCTACTGTGAAGCAAGACTGTATCCCAGATAGCACCTTATATATGGCACTCAGAAAATGCCTGTCAGTTAATGAAGGACAGCTGGAGACTCACCATTTCTGATCTGGTAGTAGTATATAGTAATACTGAATACATCCCCAAAACTCCAAGGAAAGGAGGGGGGTGGGCAAGTGCACAGAGCAACCTCATCATTTTTCCTGGGTGGTGGGGAGCTGCTGTAGCACCTCATCTATGCCTATTTGCTTTCAGAAACTATGAGCAGATTGTGAAGGCACATCAGGACAACCCCCATGAGGGAGAGGACCAGGTCTCTGACCAGGACAAGTTTAATGTGTTTCAAGGTGTCATGGACTCCCTGTTTGAGTCCTTCAATGCCTCCATCTCTGTGGCCAGCTTCCAAGAGCTATCAGCTTGTGTTTTCAGCTGGATTGAGGAGCACTGTAAGCCTCAGGTATGGGACAGAAATGATCTGGGGTTCTAATGCTATCCTCAGATATAGTGAATAAAGCCACTTTTTGTTCAGAAAAGTAGGATAGCCACTTAGTGTCTTTCAACTTTCAGTATTCTATTACCTTCCGTGCTTCCAGCCGAGATTTTCACATTAAGGTCTCATTGGCAAGTATGGTGTGAGCACTCAATGCCAGAGCCCTCTCTTGGCTTTTGTTTAACCCATGTTACACTACTGCTGCCTCATGTATCATTCTTTGGCTGCCTTGTGTGGAAGCCCTGATCACCTGCAGCAGTTACCTACAGTTTTTGGAAACACGCAGATTTCAGGCCCTCACTCCCAGGCCCACTAAAATAGTTGCCCCAAGAGCTTTTGATTGTTTATTTGTAAGAGAGATATATTAATGGTATTGAACTATCTTCTGCTTCTAAAACCTGGCTGCTTTTTCTCAAGGCTTGAACTTGTATTCGAGACTTATTTGTTTCCCAACATTATAATTGTGAAATGCTTTAAACATACTGCAACATTGAATTTTAGAATAATTAACTGCTGGGACTGGGGTTGTGGCTCAGCGGTAGAATGCCTGCCTAGTGCATATGGGGCGCTGGGTTCAATCCTCAGCACCACATATGAATAAATTAAAAATAAAGGCATTGTGTCCACCTACAACCAAAAAAAATATTTAAAAAAAAGTTAACTGCCTTCTACCAGTAACATTTTATTGTACTTGCTTTATCATACACCTCTTTCCATGCAGTTTTGTTATTTTTTGCCATGCTGGGGATAGAATTCCCCAGGCAAGTATTCTACCACTGAACTACACCCCTAGCTCTTCAATGCACTTTTCTTAAAGAGCATGTCAATAGGTAGCTCTGTACCTTCCTGAACTTTGTTTTCTGCTGCCTTCACCAGACCCTGCGGGAGATCGTGATTGGCGTCCTGCATCAATTGAAAAATCAACTTTACTGATGGCTCTTGGAAACATGCAGAATGGCCAGCAAGAGATTTTTGAGTTTCCTATTTGGTCTTGGGACTGCTGGGCCTGAGATTGGACTGTGACACCTCACACCAGTCAGCTGGTTTCTACTTGGTGTTTGGTCTTCCCAGCTTCACTTTATCTTCAGTGGAGTTGGGGGTCTTGTTTTGTGAAAGCTTCTGATTAATTTATTATACTGACCATAAAGTCAAACCTACCCAGTCTTCTCCTTGTAAGTCCTCAGGACAGGAGTCTGTTCTGTGTTCTGAGTATCCCAAAGAACTCCTGGCCTTTCAGCTCTTTCTCTAAACCTCGGATTTCTGTTCATGATTTGTGTGTACATGGAAACTGCCTGTTTGGTTTCTTGGGTAACATGACTCAAGTATGGATGTTTTAGAAGTAGTTGTGAGAGAAAAGGAGTCAGAGGAAATAGTCCCACAGCCATGAAGGTTGAAAGGCTTAGACCAGGGCTGCCTGGTTAGTCTTAAGATGAGACTGGGGCTTTCTGGCCAGCTGAGGGCAGGGCTACTGGGTTTCTATTTTTGCCTTATGTTCCATCACCTCCTTCCTCCCTATCCATCCTTGCCCTGTTCCCCAGCAGTAGTCCTGCACAGCAAAGGCAGATGAGACACAGCACTACAAACTTGAAATTTTTTATTTTTCTAAATATCAACAATGCAACTTCACTACAGTTACAATCTTGGAAAATTTTCTGGGCCTCAAAACCACCTCAGTCTTTCTGTCCAGTCTCTCTATCATCACCCAGTGCTGTCTGCACTTCTCCCAGGACTTAGGAGTGGGGGGGAATGGGTACAGGAAATAATCAAAATGTGTCCTGGGATGAAAGTACTGGGGGATGTCTTAGGCTCCTCAAATGCTGAGGTATAGCAGCCTCTCTGTACCTTATTTCCCAAACTCCCTGCTGCTTTCTTCAGGTTTGATGTCTGGGAGGTTTGAATATTCAGAGGACATTAAATATTTTTATATCAAATTATATCACAATAAATATTATAAAATGCTTTCTTTTTAGCTTCATTCTAAGCGTGCATGTTAAGTCCAAGTTGTTAAAATGTGGAAAATGAAATGAGTGTGACCATCCTTTCCTGGCCACCAGCCCTCCCTCTTCCCAATGCACTGGGCTAGTGCCTTCTCTTCTCACTATTCTCCAAGGTGAAGAGCAGCAGGAACCAACAAAAAAAAGCCATTCTAAACAAAAGTGGCCAGTCCTAGCATCTCTGTTTCCATCCTCAAGTTTTCACAGAGGGCCCCCTCAGGGATCTGGGAGTGTGACTTTATAATCTTCATCTGTCTCTATCCCAACTTCCTCCTGTAGGACAGAGACAGAAGTGAATGAGACATCCCAGGGTGATGGCCCTAGGGGAGGAAGGGAGAAAGGTCCACACTTACAAAGAATTGCTTCTTGCTCTTAGGGTAGCCTTCAAGGATTGCATCGGATAGCTCTGTTGCCTGATGAAACAAAACCACCTCTTTTTATTTTGGGAGTACCAGGGATTGGACTCAGGGGCACTCAGCCACTGAGCTACATCCCCAGGACTATTTTGTATTTTATATTTAGAGTCAGGGTCTCACTGAGTTGCTTAGCACCTCACTTTTGCTGAGGGCTGACTTTGAACTCCACAATCTTCCTGCCTTAGCCTCCAGAGAGTCACTGGGATTACAGGCATGTGCCACCATGCCCGGGAAAACCACCCCTTTTTGGGTGGGCAACACTGGACACTAACTGTCAGACCATGACATTGGGCAGCAATTTCTCTGTGGCTGCCATTTTTTAAAGCTCCAACTCACCATTCTCTTCCGCTTCCTCCACTCCTTACAGTATTTCTGCCTCTCTCTGTATACCTAGAAGGAAGGAAACAGGTTACTCTAAATCCCTCAGGCCCACAGTTACCTGTTGAGGATCAACCCTTGTCCTCAATCCTGCACAAACAACTCTAGCCTTCCTCCCAGCTCACCTGCTCTTTCTCCTCTGGAGTGACATGGTTGGTGGCAGCTTTGATGTTCTTCAATCTCTCTAGGTAGCCAGCACATTCCTTCTTTAACTCCTGGATCTCTTTCTGCATCTCCGGAGTAGTCAGGGCACTAGTTAACTCCTTCAGCTCTGAAACCACATCCTCCTGAGGTCACTTGCCACCCCTGACAGAGAGGTTCTGTTTTTCCCAGTCAGGGGGTACTCTTTGAAGTAGGAATGTGAATTCTACCTTGCTCTGAGATCTACTAGAATAAGACCCCACATTCAGGAAAATAAGGCTTACAGAGTCACCAGTTCATTCTATTTTTCTTTGTCTTCCAGCTACAAGTAGTGGGCTATGAGGTTGAGCAGACTAATGTGTAGCAAGTTAAAGCAGGAATAGAGGAAAACGTGGGGGCAGTGTGCTGAAGATCATGGCAGAGGAAGCAAATGCATGTCTTGCCCATTTGTACACAAAAGCCATTAGTGATTCTACATTTTTCTTTTTTGGTACGGGAGATTGAACTCAGGGACATATAACCACTGAGCCATATGCCCAGAACTATTTTGTGTTTTATTTAGACACAGAGTCTCATTGAGTTGCTTAGCACCTTGATTTTTGCTCAGGATGGCACTGAACTTGCCATCTTCCTGTCTCAGCCTCCCAAGCCACTGGGATTATAGGTGTGCACCACTGCGCTTAGCTCTACATTTCTTTTAATGTAATGCCTGAGGCAGCCCAGCAAAGTGGTCTTCTCTGCAATAAGACACTGTAATCAGTGAGCCATTCACTTAGCAGTTCCTGACCTCCACACTGAACTTGGCCCTATGGGCACCTTGCAAGGACTCCCCAGTCCTACCAGCCTCCATGTGGCGGCAACTCTGCTGCAAGCTCTGCACCTTGGCAGTGAGGGCCACGATTTTGGCATCCAGGCTGTGAAGGTCAGAATCACTCACCATTTCAAACTGGTTCTGCCAGAGACGAGAAAAAGTACAAATGAATTAATTAATGTGAGGCATAAAAAGGAAAAAAAAGTATCAGGAAGGCAGTAACAAGTCATTCATTTGAATACTGATCCCAATGAAAATGTGTAAAAAAGTCGAAACCTAATGCGTAACCTCAAAGAGCGTCCAGGTTGGCAGGATAATAAATAGGATAGAAACATCTTTCCATTAGTGATAAAACCTACTCACTGGACTAAAGGAGTAAAGAAACATTCTTACCAAGGTGGGGACACCTAGATCATGAGTTTCAGCAATAGGTAGAATCTAATGGAGTTGGGGATGTAGCTCAGTGGCAAAGTGCTTGCCTAGCACATGCAAAATCCTGGGTTTCAACCTTGCCTAGCGGGAGTAGGGGGAAGTCTTACAAGTGAAGAAGCACAACAGGCTCTATTTAGATAAGGGATTCTAGTGGAAGTCTAAGGAGCCCCTCTCATGAGAGGCTGCTAGAAAATGATTACCCTAGTGGAGTTCAGTTGGTAGAGGATTTATCTAGCATAGTAAGGCCCTGCGTTCAGTCCTCAGCATCATAAAAAAACAAAACAAAACCCACTGCAGATCAGTGAGAGTCACATCACCTGGGAATAGGACCCAGTCTAGCAAGGATGGGAATGCCAGCTTGGGCAGTTTAGACTTTATGCATAGGCAAGATAAATGTTTACAGCAAGGACTGCTGAGGGCCATTGTCAAGTAGGAATGACACTTCAAAATTTCCTTGCCAGCGTACCCCATGTTAAATGGATTTCGCTGTTGACCTTGCTTGTGTGTTTGCGAAAGGTGACCCTGCTCAATGACCAGGGTGGATCCAGGATTAGGGTGTATCCTACAGGAAATATCCCCGTCCTTGGGTTTAGGGCATGACAATAGGAGTTTTAGGGAAGTTGGAGGTTGAAGATTATTGAGGTGGGAGTAGGGCGTGCCTGCTGCCTGAGAAAAAGTATTTAGGGCGTGTTGTCCGGGAGATTGGAATTGCCCCTGAACCTGTGTGGAGGCGGTGTGAGATTGGGAATAAAGAATTGCTGTTTGAACCTACAAAGCTGTGTGGTGGCTCGTGATTCTGTGCCAAGCCGAGACATTGGCATTTGGCAAAGGACCTGCAAACAGCAAAGTAAATTCTGCATGTTTTTGAAAAAGACCATAGAACCTGCAAAGCTAAAAATACTGTGAAGCCCTTTACAGAAGTTTGCCAACTCCTCTTTTAGGTAATTCTCAACAGAGTAGTAATTTGTTATACTTTACTTCAGTTAAACGAGTAATGTCTTTTAGATGTTAGATACTGGGGTAATGAGTCAACAAAGATGAACAAAAAATGAGGTCTGCCCAGAAGAACCTTAGTTTAGTGAGGGAGACAAGTAGAAAGAAAATTATATACCTCATGACTCAAAAGGCATAAGAGCCTGAAAAAGGAGAAGTTGGCTCCTCCTTCTGGAGATCATTTCTGGGCTTCTAGAGAGAGTGGGGACTGAGTGAAATCTCAAAGAACTGAATAAGATTTAAGTGGGCAGAGGCAGGAGGAGGAAAAGCAAGGGACAGAGGAATAAAACATACCTAAATTTTTTAGTATTGATGGAGAAATAATAAGGGCAGGTGAAGCCAGAGGCTGGCTGCAGCAAGTCTTCAGGTGCCTTTTTACCTGTTCTATGGAGCACCCATGAAGCATTGAAGAGTTTTATGTAGGGGATGGTACATGATCATATTTGCATTTAGATAGATGATTCTGGCTGTAGTGTTCAAGATATGTTCAAGGAGGTGAGATCTTTTGGGGGGGACATTAGTAGACAAGGCCTGGACTAGAGCAGTGATAGCAGAGGGAAAGAAAATTGGACTCAAGAAGAAAAAAATCAGCTCTACTTGATGGACCAGACATTTCAGGGAAAAAGTCAGGAATTACTCTCAAGTCTCTGGTTTGGGTGAAAAGTGATTCCATTAAGGGAGGAAAATGCTAGGGAGGAGCCAGTTAGGAAGGCATTCTTCTTTTGCAGGATTGATTCTGATATGAAGTCAGAGACATACAAGTGAAGGTCTAGGCTAAAGAATACAAATCCCAGGGCAGGGTTGTGACTCAGTAGTAGAGCGCTGGTGGGGTGCCAAAGAGTTGATACTAGTTGATTCAGTGTTGGGATCTGATATAGGTGATAATGTGCGCAGGCTTTCCTCACCTGATCCGCAAAATAGATCTTCTGCTTGCCGTACATCTTCTCTTTGATCTTGCCTTGTTGGGCCAAATGCTCCAGCGCCTTCACCACCGCCTGGCAGAAGGGAAGGGAGGGCAATAAGAGGAGTCTTTGGGCCCAGGCAGGGGAGATTTCAGCCAGTAATGGGAGAGGGCGGAAGCCCCGGGAGGTCAGGAACCCAGCCTGATTACAGGGGCTCCGCTGGGAGGGAATCCTCAAAGGTCCTCACCGCCTTGCCCAGACCGTGTTCCTTCTGCAGGTTCCCGAATACATCCTGGGCGCTATAGGGCCGGTTCTGCTCCTGCAGGTACTTCAGGAGGAGGCCTGGGGCTGCGGAGAGAGACGAGACGGTGAGACCGTGTCACTAGGCCGGTCTCTCCCGCTTCCCTCCCGAATCGCGCTAGCACCTCCGTTACCTCCCGCCGCAGCTTCTGCCCGGGATTTACTCATGGCCTTTCCCGCCGCCAAATTCAGAAAGCCAGACGTCGTAGTTGCTCGGGGCTACAGCTCTTTCCGGCAACGCGGGAGGGCCTCAAGCAGTGATTGGCTGAAGGGGAAGGATTTCCGCGGAACTCCGCGGCCCAGCCCGGACGCCGTAGTTCAGTTCAGCCGGGAGCTTGCGCACCAAAACTCGACCCTTCCACGACCCGGGTGTGAGGAGGCGGCGACAGGCACCCCACGACCCTGAAACGAAAGCTATAGTAAACAGCGCCTGCAAGTTTTGAGATCTGCTTCTAGCCGCAGCTGAGCACTCGCGACCTTGAGGTCTTCCTGTTCCCAGAGTTGAAACGGGAAGAAATTTCAGGTTTCAACTCCCGCACTGGGCAAATGACTAGTTCAAGGTCACACACAGAGCTAGTTACCTTCATGAACGTGTCCTGATCCCACGGTCCAGTGCACTTTCGGCAGCTTTATCACTTGAAAAATAAGACCGATAGGTACTTGAAGGAGAGGAGTTTTGAAAACCACACTCTGGGGGCTGGGGCTGGGGTTCAGTGGTAGAGCGCTCACCTAGCATGCACGAGGCACTGGGTTCGAGCCTCAGCCACACTATTTATTTGCTCATTACCGAGCTTCACCCAGAGGGGGCGCTCGACACCTACTATGGTTTGAGACCTGAGGAAAGCGAGGGCTGGGGGCCCTGGGTGGGGGCGGGGGGGGGTAGTCTTAAGCCACAAAGCTCGTAGAAAAGCGTTAGCTCAAGCTGTCTCACGGTAACACCTGGCAGGTGCTTTCCACTCCGAACCACAGTGGCCAGCAGGACAGAGCCTGAAATAAGTCTTTCTAGTTTCTGAGGTCAGCTGAAGGCCGAAGTGCAGCTGTCCTTGAGGCTCAAAGATTCTAAAGGAGCATGATGCTACTTTTGAAGCCTCCTTCTACCCCAAACTTTATTAGCCTTTATTTAAAACTTGTGCTTGTCTATGTTTAGGGGGCAAAAATTAGGTACTAGAAATGATGGAACTGCTGGCTAAATACCAGTCGGGAGGTCAGTTATACTCATGTCTGGGCTCTCTACCAGGAGAGGAAGTGGCCTCATACTGTGGTGATTGTTCTGGCCATCACAAAGGAAAAACAGGGATGGGTGGGTTCCTCACACCTGGGGTTCCTTTTCTGAGGCTGTCACCTCAAATTAACCAAAACTCAGATTAGGTCTCCTTTTGCTAATCTATCAAGGAAGGACACCATTCAACATCAGTCTCTGAGAGATTGTTCTCATACAAGATTTATTCCCCAGCACTCACCCACCCACCCACCCTCAATTCACAGTGGAGGATTTAAGGAGATTCAGAGCAGGATCCCCCAGTAAAAGACTTTCCAAATGTTTTGCTCTTCTTCCTTCCCTCCCTCTTGCCAACTCCCAAGGCCTGAAGCTACACACACTCATGCAAAACCACAAAATCCCACTCCTTTCCCACACCTCCCATTTTTTTCCACATCAGAGCTCATCTGTAAGACATCTGGACTCTGGAAAGAGCGATGACATCCAAATTGTTTGAGAACCTAAAGTGAGGAAATGCCCCTAACCTTCACACATAAGTGACTATGAAACAGGCACCTAGCTCTTCCCCTTTTCACTGTTAACCGTTTTCACTCCCTGGCCTCTGTACTTTGTCCATCAACCAAGAGCAAACATGTTAGTATACCCCCCACCTGCAGCACATGAAAATGGGCTCTGTCCAACATCCTCACTCAAGAATGGGGGTGTCGGGGGAGTAGTCCCTGAGGATCGGCAAAGGATTAATACAAGAGGGAAAGAGGATAGCAGAGTTTGACTTGAGCTCTGATTATGGACGCAGAGAGGGAGTAGGCTGGCACAGGTTTAGAACCAAATATTTTCGGGTTTTTTGTCTTGCATTATATTATTAGGGGCTGCAGAACAGATACCCTTAGAGGGGTCTCTGCTGCATGGACATAATTCTTGCTATCTGGGCTCATCCTTAAAGAAGTCCTGCCAAATTGGGAAGCAATTGAAAAAAAAAAACAAAAAACAGTAAAGGAGCTGGTGCAAGAAGAGCTGTGGCTCCTAGGATGAATGCCACAGAGCCATTTGTAAAGTGCTACTTTGCCATCCCCCATGGAATTATTGCTTCTCCAGAGGAGGAGCAGAGGAAGGAAGAGAATATATAATTGAGTATGGTATTGCTTTGCTCACTGCTCAGAGTGTTGGTCAAATAGAGCCAGGGGTTAGCAGCACCAAAGACAACCACACAGCTTCGGAAGATTCAGTGAGACCTCAAGACAGAAGCGCTCACAAACCCTCCCAGCCAGCTGACCCCTATTGGCCCAAGGTAATGTAGAAGACTCCCATCCCTACATCATGTTCACATTTCTTAAATTTCACAAGCCTTATTTTGGAACACTGGGAGTCAGCCCTCAAGAAATGAGGACAAGCTAAAGGAAGAGGGAACAGGTCTGCATTGCAGAACCAAAGGACAGCGTGCTTTGAAAAAACACATCAAAGCATAGTCTGACAGAAGATGACAACGCTTCCAGCTGCTGCCTGATTTTGGGGGGTTTTAGGGAGGCAAGGGAAGGAAAGAAAGGGACTCTTCTATCATTGAGGGCCCCTGAGCACCCAGACCTAAAAGCAAACAGCAGCACTTCTCAAAAAGGAATCAATATCCCTGACTTTGTTCCCCAAAGTACCATCCTGATGGAGAGAAGCCTCCTTTGGGAGAGCACACTCTTAGTTCAATGCCTAAGCACAGAAATGGATGTCTAGCTGGCAGTAGGGTAAGGAGTATCCTCTCTAAACAGGCCTCTGAGCATCAGTCAGGCCACCCAGCATACAAATATCATTCAGGAGATGGGACCTGGGTTCTTCCCCTGCCCCATCACCCTAAGTGGAGGGAAAAAAAAAAAAAAACCTAAACCACAATGACCCCCTAAAAGGAGTCTGTCTCCTCATTGGCTCCTGGAACTGGCAGGGTCCAGCTGATTCAGCTCTGACTGGTCCAGAAGTTCAAAGTCATCTCCCTCAGCATCAGTGTCCAGGTCTGAACTAGGGGCTCTGAGGAAGCCTCTTGTTGCTCTCCGGGGAGGTGGGCCAGAAGGGCCTGATTGGGAGGCTCCTGACATGGCCAGCTGGATCATACCCTGGGAGACCAGGCTGGCAAGGTTGCTGGTGAGGTTGGATCCTACAGGCAGGGCACCAAGCAGGAGCTCTGGCAGTGCAGCCTCATCCCGGCTGGAAGGGAGAACCTGGGGATCCTCAGCTCCTGGTGCAGAACGGTACATCAAGCTGGGCATCCCAATGCTGGTATCATCCTCATCATCCAGGCCAGCAGGATCCACATTAATGGAAGGGAAGTCTGGAAGGTCTCGGGCAAAGGATTCCTCTGGATCACTATGACCATCTAGGTCTGAGAGAATACAGGGTATATTAGACACAGCAATTACCTGGTCCTCCAGTGCTCCAGACTCACAAAATGTCAAGCCACATAATCATATTTTTCTCACTCTGGGTATCTCATGATGACGCAAAACCCATGGGACTAGTTAGCTCTTCTCTACTCATAGATGGTTATGATTGCTACTAGCCAGAGAATTCCCGCCCCCTGTTCCTCTTCTGTGCCCATGAGGTTGAGGCTAAGTCTACTAAGGGACTGAGGGCTTCAATGAGAGTAGCACTGCCATCCTGGATGTACCCACACCCCTTAGGCTGCTCTGCCACAGCATAGGAGACAAGTGCACATGGGGGGCGGGGGGTTGGTGGGGGGATGGTGGGTGTGTGCCTGTATCCCCTCTGTCCAGGGAAGTTGAGAAGCAATAGTCAGAGCCACTATCAACCCAGGTCAGAGGTTCTCCTCACCTTCAGAACCTTCTGTTAGAGGTGTTTGGCCCCTGGAAAGATTGAATGTGCCATTGTCTGTACAGGAGACCTCAGCATCTGAGTGTTCTGAGTCAGTGATAGCCAATTCCCTGGCAACAGCAGAATCATCCAGCTTAGAAAAAGAAAAGACCAATAAATCTGAAGAGATGATGCCATTAGAATCAGAAGCAGTTCCTAGTTATAGCTCTACTAATTTTGAGGCTACCCCCAAAGGCCATCAGTGTAACCAGGGAAAGATGGGGACTTTATTCAAAATCTTGACTCCTTTTAGGTTATTCACACCCAAAGAAAATGCTCTTAATTGTCCATCTTTTAAACATAGAAAGAAAAGCAATCTTGGGAATCAATTAGCTACTTATTCTTAAGAACTGACACCCCACACCTGCAACACACACAAATGTAACTGACTATGAGATTACTTTTCACAGGTGACTGGGAAGAGACATTCTGCCAGAACCTAAAGGTGGGCTAGGTGTTTAAAAAATGATCATACCAGCTCCAGAAATTCTCCATGATGGTAGGGCAAAAGGAGATGTGGGAGGGAGTGTGCTGGTCACCAGGCTCAAGTTGAAATCTGGATACAAAGTCCCAATGTAACACTTATTTCGCTCCTTGTCACTGCTCTCAGGAGCAAGGGGATTCTGGGGTCTTGAAATCTGGTTACTGCCTAAATGTAAGCTGCCACATGTATAAAAGGGAACCTAAAAACAAAAACTGGCCAGTGGAGTACTCCCACATTCAAGTTACCTGAGGACAGAAGGCAGCAAGCTCCTCTTCACTGTCACTATGGTTGTCCATGGTACGTTCTGGGTATAGAGCTCTGCGACGCACTATGTGGAAAGAACAGAGCCTTGATGCCTTCACTTGAGGGGGAAAAAACCCTCTTTGGACTTAAAAGGCATAAAATCAGAACATAAAAGAGATCCTCTGAATATGACCCTTATGCCTATATAACAGTAAATGAGGGTGAGGCTGCTGAGCCTAAGTGGCAAGATGAGTTGATAACACAAGAGAGAAATCTCTCTTCCAATATCTTCCTTCTACCAACCCCCATGTTTCTGTTCTAGTCAGTTACTACAAGGCTGATAAACACCTCAGGATCAGCTAGGGCAGACTTAATGTTAAGGTAGCAAGTAGAAACTATAATAAAGGGCAAATGGAGATACCAACTTTGGTTAAATTAGGCTTTTGAGGACTGATAGTATTCAACTGGCTGGCCCAGGATAAGCTGGGTCTTGATGACCACATGTAGGGCTCTATGAAGGCCAGGGCTTAATGAAACACTCAACCTGACAAGACCTAAGAGAATGAAAAGTTTGCTCCTCTATAACGAATGTTTTGGATGGATCTCAAGCTGGTACACCTCCAGCCTGTAAGGTGGCAGTTTTTAATCTCATTTGAAAGCAGCTTTTGGTAGTGATGAGAGGCCAGGTTGATTTGGAAAGACCTGTACTGACATTTACTAACTGTGAGCCTCAATTTCCTCAAATGAAAGAGAATAAAACCACCCACTTCTCAAGGTTGTAAATGGTTAAATAAAATGAATGAAGAGCCATGAATAGCCAAGGGAAATGCTTCATAAATGGCAGATAATATTAGGGACATCTTCAAATTTCTTTCATTCAACTGGTGAGAATTTTTCTCAGATTAAAGGGCAAGTCTGGGACTCCAAATGAGGAAAGCTGGCAAACCTGCATAGATTTCCCTGGAATAGAATATTGATTTTATTTACCACTCTCCACCCCCACAAGCCATTTCCAGCTTCTCCCACTTCTCCCACCTAACCCATATGTTAG